CACTAACGAGGCGAGGCCGGGCGCAGGCACGGAGTAATATACAGCGAGGGCCACTTCGCCGCTGCCCGTGCCCACAGCCAATTTGGAGAGGGCACCCAGCCTGATTGCTCGGCCGGCGAAGCGAAGAGAGCATCTGCGAGGTGGGGAGGCGGGGGGGAGCCGAGGATTTGCCGGCTCACGGTCACCGGCTCTCGGGCGGTGAAATAGGTGGGTGCCGGGGTGCCATGCCTTGATGCAAGGATCCCAGTGGCAAGGCAGGTCCCCGTCGCCCAAACCTGCCCCGATACTGGGAGCCGGGATGGCCAGGACAGGGCGAGGGTCCCTGTTCGTGACCTTGCCATCGCAGGCGGCAGCGAGGAGCGCGCGGACTCCATCGTTTATTCCATTAGATCCGACTTCCCCCTCTAACCAGATTAGAAGGGAGTCTATAAAAGCCAGGCTGGCGGGAGGAGAGCAGGGCGCGCAGAGCCTGGCGCGGGAAATGAGGGGCAGGGAAATCACATTACTGCTGCCGGCAGTGTCTGGCAGGGGGTCTGGCAGGGGCTGCCGGTGTGCCGGAGGTGCCTTATCCGGCAGGCACCAAAGCCGGGGCAGCGCCAGGCGGCGAAGTGGCTTTTCGCATCCCTTTGCACCCGCAGGACCTGGGTACCCATCTCCTGCCCACCCAGGGAAGGGGAGAGATGGGCTGAGCTGGGCGCAGACCTGCTATTTCCACCAACACAGGCTTCAATGCGAAGAACTGCCTCCTCCTCCTCTTCCTCCTTGCCTTGTCGGTCCAGCGCTGGTTCCCCGGGGATCCTCTCTCTGCCCAAAGCTCCCCTTGCACCTCGCAAAGATGAGATGAGTGTGGCCAACCCACAGCTCTTTCCCATCACGCCGGTCCTGGAGGCATATTGGGGACGTGGATGGCGGGACAGGGGACGTGCAGCGGGGGCTGCTCAGTCCAGGTGCCCCCTCCTTGCCCCTGTCATCGCATCCATCCATCCTACAGACCATTGCCTCTCCCTCCCCAGAGACCGGCGGCGTTCCTGACCCCGTCAGGCAGCGATGCCCTCCCCAGCCTGGACCCCGCCGCCGCCAGCACGCTCGAGAGGGGCGAAGAGCTGCGGGCAGCCCCCGTGCACCCATTTTATTGCCAGGTAAGAACCCATGAGAGCAGCCAGCAATGCCACGCCGGCACCCTGCCGGCTGCATCGCCCCGCCAGCCTCCACGAAGGCACGCACCCTGCCTCGTAACGGTGAAAAACTGGCATAAATCCCAAATGTTAATCTCTCTTCCAATGTACGCATTGCTGGGAGCGGCGGGTTTTATCCATAGCCTGGTTGTACCAATAATTTCTTGTGTTGTGCCCGTGGAGGAGCTTTTCCATCGGTGCCCGCACCCCTGGTCCCCGGCTGTTTCGGGTTGGCACAGGGGCTGGAGGGGGGACAGCATCCCATCGCCTTGCTGGGGGCAGCGCTCGCCGGAGCAGCCTGGATGCACCAGCTTCGATCTGATTGCTCAATCCCAAATCCATTTAGCAAATTCTCTCCTATTACCGCTGCATTATGCTGGAGAGCCCAGGCACCTCCAGCTCATACCTTTCGGCTCCAGGAAAAAAAAAAGGCAGCTGCTCTCCTCCCCCAGCCCTTTGTATTGATAAATGGAGCCCTTGGATGAATTCAAACCCAGCCCTCGTGGTCCTAATATCTTCCTGTACTTTAAGCCATCTGGCTTTAAAAATAACAGGTCGTTAAACCTCAATTCTGCTTATTAAATAGCTGGGAGGGAGGAGGTGGAGGGGCCCTGCGCTGCCCAAACACCCAGCTCTTTCCCCGCCAGCGGCCGCCCGAACCCCACCTTCAACCCAGTCCCTCTCCCTGCGATTCAGGCTGCAAAGCAGGAAGAAAATTAGCAATAAAAAACCAACCATAAAAATACAGAAAAGCTATTTTTTTTTCCTCCAGCTGTTTTAATTCCTCCAATCCACTGAGCTTTATTGCTTCCTTTTCTGTGGCCGCGGCGGCTGCTTTATGCCCAGCCTAATAGAAACCCGTAATGGGGCGTGCAGAGGCGGGTACCATGGCACAGCTTAAATGCGATGAGGACGTGAGGTCCAAAATTGATGGACCAAATTGCCCCGGGGCTCCAGAGAAGCCCCAACACCCTTCAGACCTGCGCAGGATCCGGCCCTGGCATCGCTACGTGGTCCGTGCGATGCGTTTTCACCCCCAGCTTTGCCATTTGCTTGCGCTGATGCTCCGAGCAGCCTCAAATCCGGCTCGCTGTATCCTCACAAGAGCATCCCTGTGTCGATAAAGCGAGGGAGGGTGGGAAGTGGTTTCACGGATGCTTCCAGCGGGACAACGGGAGCTGGGGAGGACAGAAAGGGTTTGCACAAGCCCTGGGCACACCCTGCCCTGCCCTTTTTCTGGCTAAAATTGGTAGAAAGTGTTGCTGGTAGGATTAATTTTTTTCCCTCCAAACTTTGATGGCCGTTTTCTTTCTTTTTTGCTTTTTTCCTTCCCCCTAAAGCACAAATTCTTTTCACTCGGCTTGCATTGCAACGCGGGGGATTTCCTCGGAAAGCCCTGGAAAGCCCATCTCCT